CGCACAGTGCGCTAACCACTGCACCACCACTCCCTACACACATACACAGTGCGCTAACCACCGTACCACCACTCCCTACACACATACACAGTGCGCTAACCACCGTACCACCGCCCCACACACTCACACAGTGCGCTAACCACTGCACCACCGCCCCACACACTCACACTCACACAGTGCGCTAACCACCGTACCACCGCTCCCCGCCCACACACACAGTGCGCTAACCACTGCACCACCACTCCCTACACACATACACAGTGCGCTAACCACTGCACCACCACTCCCTACACACATACACAGTGCGCTAACCACCGTACCACCGCCCCACACACTCACACAGTGCGCTAACCACTGCACCACCACTCCCCATACACACACACAGTGCGCTAACCACCGTACCACCGCTCCCCACACACACACAGTGCGCTAACCGCTGCACCACCGCTCCGCACACTCACACACACAGTGCGTTAACCACTGCACCACCGCTCCATACACATACAGTGCGCTAACCACTGTACCACCACTCCCCACACACAGTGCGCTAACCACTGCACCACCGTCCCACACACACACATACAGTGCGCTAACCACTGCACCACCACTCCCCACCCACCCACACACACACAGGGTGCGCTAACCACTGCACCACCGCTCCCCACACACACCCACACACAGAGTGCGCTGCTAACCACTGCACCACGACGCTCGTGCCAGGCTAGGCGCACCTTGAGGCCACGTGAAGGGTCGCTGCTTTGCAGGAGGTCACGGGACAGAGGCAGTGAAGTGACTTCTCTGCCAGGCTAGGTGCACGAGGGAGTTCGCGGGACAGGGAACCAGCTGTCGTGCTGTTCTACCATGCCGTTCTGCCATTCGCTGAGGAAACCAGCGAAACCATGAGCCTCCTCTCTCGCCGTGCAAACGCTCCGGTGGTCCGATGACCATTCCAGCGGAAATCTACGAGCCTCGAGGGCCCTCGCTTGGTCGAGAAAACTCACCGACCACATCCGGTCTCTCCCGTGTGTAGATGAGAACCCGGTCCCCCACGGGTTCAAGGACGCCTCCCCTACAATCCACCCCCTGAAGAGGAAAGACAATGGACAAGGCCTGCGACAAGCCGCAGAGGCATCTCCACCATGCTGTCGATCGCCGGCAAAAACCTTGCCGGGAATCCTTCTGAACCGCCCGATTGTCCACCGTAGACCGTGGGGGGTGGGGGGGGTCTCTGCTGGCCGAGATTCGGCGTGGTTCCAGAAAAGACCGCGGGAAAACCCACTGCCGTGGCATTCCACTTGACCCGGCAGTCGGTTACAGGAAAGAAAAAAAAACCCGCTGATCTGTATATAATGTCTTTCGTCTTCTGTGGTTCTCTCGGTAAAGTCACCACCACTACCACCACCACGTAGAATGAGGATGAAATAATACATTGATAAAATAAAATAACGCGGTAAAATGCTCGCGACGTTTCGGCCACAACGCAAGCGGCCTTCATCAGGTGAAAGGGACGAGACCCGTCTGGTAGGACAGCGCTGGAGCGAACAAAGCCACGCTCAGATCGCGACCTTTAAGCTGTGTGAGAAGAAACAGAGCGCCTTGACAAAGGAATTGGCATAGAATTTAGCATTGAAATAGCTGAGTGATTAGATTGTGACTGGTCACAGAAATGGCGATGTTAAAGTTAAAGCATACACATCCGCAGAGGCACCCCTTGACAAAGGAATTAGCATAGAATTTAGCATTGAAATAGCTAAGTTAAAGTACACACATCCGCAGAGGCACCCCTTGACAAAGGAATTAACATAGAATTTAGCATTGAAATGGCTGAGTGATTAGCTTGTGACTGGTCACAGAAATGGCTATGTTAAAGTCAAAGCATACACATTCACAGAGGCACCTAGTACAAATCAAACAGTCACAAGCTAATCACTCAGCTATTTCAATGCTAAATTCTATGCTTATTCCTTTGTCAAGGGGTGCCTCTGCGGATGTGTATGCTTTAACTTTAACATAGCCATTTCTGTGACCAGTCACAAGCTAATCACTCAGCTATTTCAATGCTAAATTCTATGCTTATTCCTTTGTCAAGGGGTGCCTCTGCGGATGTGTATACTTTAACTTAGCTATTTCAATGCTAAATTCTATGCTAATTCCTTTGTCAAGGGGTGCCTCTGCGGATGTGTATGCTTTGACTTTAACATAGCCATTTCTGCGACCAGTCACAAGCTAATCACTCAGCTATTTCAATGCTAAATTCTATGCTAATTCCTTTGTCAAGGTGCTCTGTTTCTTCTCACACAGCTTAAAGGTCACGATCTGAGCGTGGCTTTGTTCGCTCCAGCGCCGTCCTACCAGACGGGTCTCGTCCCCTTCACCTGATGAAGGCCGCTTGCGTTGTGGCCGAAACGTCGTGAGAATTTTACCGCGTTATTTTATTTTATCAATTTATTCTTTCGTTCTCATTCTACGTGCTGGTGGTGGTGGAGGTGGTGGTGGTGGTGGTGGTGATGATGGTGGAGGTGGTGGTGGTGGAGGTGATGATGGTGGTGGTGGTGGTGATGGTGGTGGTGGTGACCTTACCGAGAGAACCACAGAGGACGAATCCTTGCGGTCACGAAAGCTTCAAATCGAAAAGCAATGGCTTTCGCCGATCCAACAGAAAGCATTCGACGCAGTCGGCCGGGGTGTGTCCGGACAAAGTCCACTGGCGTCGTGCCAGCTCCGGGAGACCAGCAAGGACTCTCCGACCCGTTGCCAAACCACTAAACGGGGGTGAGGCGAGGGCCTGCGTTTCTGGCGGCGACGCTCCTCCGCTTGGTGCCTCCTGCCAGACGCTGCAAGACGCATTCCGGAACCCCAACACTGGCACGAGCTTCATCCGCCGCTTTGACGGCGGGCTATTCAATCCGCAAGCCGAAGCGCCGAGTGGAGGCGGTCGCTGCCGCCCTGCAGGCTCAAGGCTAAGGTCCTCGGGGCAGCGTGGGCCGCTTCTCCTCGGCTTGCAACGTCGCCGGCCTAACAATCGACACAAGGAAGACTGAAGTGCCGTGCCAACCTGCCCCCCCCCGCCACCTTTGTGAATGGGCAAAAGCTTCGGTAGTACCCTGCCTCGCGCTGTGCTGCGCAGACGGCGAGGTTGTTAACGTCATTGATTGTCTCGGCCCAGTGCAGCCTTTGGGCGTCTACCTGACCCGGCGTCGGGGAAGGACTGGCATCAAGCAGGAGACAAAAAGGGAAGGTCTCCCCTCGGCCTGTTGTCTCGCCGCGAAAGCCCGGGGAGCGGTCTCGCCAGCGGCCACGCCCGCAGGGCTGAGGCGTTTCCACCGGAGCTGTCCGAGGAAGCGGCCGAGGATCACGTGGGCAGGGGCGGAGTGCCTGACGCCGAAGCCGTCGGCGCGGCGAGCATCTCCGGCATGCACGCCCCTCGCTTGCGAAAGGAACAGCCGAGACGGACTGGTCACGTGACCAGAACGCCCTCGCCCGCCCGCCCGCGCGCGAGGCAGCCAAAACAAGCCTCCTTCGGCGGGCCGAAGAGTGGCGGGCGAGCTGAAGAGCGGCAGCAAAAAAGGGGAAAACCTGAGAGGCTCCTTGAAGAGCTTTGGATTCGACCTGAAAGAGCTGGGAACACCCTAGCTCAGCACCGATCTACCTGCCTGTGGGGGATGAAGTACGGGACGGGGGGCAGTCCTCTGCGAGGACGGCCGGAGCTCCTGTGCCATGGGCATCATCGACTATGATGGACGAGCAAAGAAGAAGTCTGCGGGTTTCTGTGTGTGGTGAGTCTGCGGGTGTCTCTGTGTGGTGTGTCTGTGTGTGGTGAGTCTGTGGGTGTCTCTGTGTGGTGAGTCTGTGGGTGTCTGTGTGTGGTGAGTCTGTGGGTGTCTCTGTGTGGTGAGTCTGTGGGTGTCTGTGTGGTGAGTCTGTGGGTCTCTGTGTAGTGAGTCTGTGGGTCTCTGTGTGGTGAGTCTGTGGGTCTCTGTGTGGTGGGTCTGTGGGTCTCTGTGTGGTGAGTCTGTGGGTCTCTGTGTGGTGAGTCTGTGGGTCTCTGTGTGGTGAGTCTGTGGGTCTCTGCGTGATGAGTCTATGGGTCTCTGTGTGGTGAGTATGTGGGTCTCTGTGTGGTGAGTCTGTGGGTCTCTGTGTAGTGAGTCTGTGGGTCTCTGTGTGGTGAGTCTGTGGGTGTCTGTGTGGTGTGTCTGTGGGTCTCTGCATGGTGAGTCTGTGGGTCTCTGTGTGGTGAGTCTGTGGGTGTCTGTGTGGTGAGTCTGTGGGCCTCTGTGTGGTGAGTCTGTGGGTCTCTGTGTGGTGAGTCTGTGGGTCTCTGTGTGGTGAGTCTGTGGGTCTCTGTGTGGTGAGTCTGTGGGTCTCTGTGTGTGGTGAGTCTGTGGGTCTCTGTGTGTGGTGAGTCTGTGGGTCTGTGTGGTGAGTCTGTGGGTCTGTGTGGTGAGTCTGTGGGTCTCTGTGTGGTGAGTCTTTGGGTCTCTGCGTGGTGAGTCTGTGGGTCTCTGTGTGGTGAGTCTGTGGGTCTCTGTGTGGTGAGTCTGTGTGTCTCTGTGTGGTGAGTCTGTGGGTGTCTGTGTGGTGAGTCTTTGGGTCTCTGTGTGATGAGTCTATGGGTCTCTGTGTGATGATTCTGTGGGTCTCTGTGTGGTGAGTCTTTGGGTCTCTGCGTGGTGAGTCTGTGGGTCTCTGTGTGGTGAGTCTGTGGGTCTCTGTGTGGTGAGTCTGTGTGTCTCTGTGTGGTGAGTCTGTGGGTGTCTGTGTGGTGAGTCTTTGGGTCTCTGTGTGATGAGTCTATGGGTCTCTGTGTGATGAGTCTGTGGGTCTCTGTGTGGTGAGTCTGTGGGTCTCTGTGTGGTGAGTCTGTGGGTGTCTGTGTGGTGAGTCTTTGGGTCTCTGCGTGGTGAGTCTGTAGGTCTCTGTGTGGTGAGTCTACGAATTTCTAACCCTAACCCAATCCCCTAAACCCCAATCCCCTAACCCAATCCCCTAAACTCCAATCCCCTAACCCAATCCCCTAAACCCCAATCCCCTAACCCATCCCTTATCATCACCCTCGACCCTCTAACCCTGTGCTACCTGAGTGTGGTGACTATCAGGGGGGTAGTCCCGGGGCCCCCGTGACCCCCTCCGGGGGGGGTCCCTGCGGGGGGGGGGGCCTCTTCGGGGGGGGTCCCCAGGGGGGGCCAGGGGGGCCGCTGGGCCCCCAGGGCTGCGTCCTCGCGCTTGAAGCGGCTCTTGGGCTGTCGCTTGCGGCGCACGGCGCGGGCACAGCCGTCCAGCACGCCGCTGTCGATCAGCGCCTGCGTGAGGAGGGGGGGTCACAACAACAACAACGTCAACAACAACAACAACGATGTCAACAACAACAACAACGATGTCAACAACAACAACAACGATGTCAACAACAACAACGATGTCAACAACAACAACGACGATGTCAACAACAACAACGATGTCAACAACAACAACGACGATGTCAACAACAACAACGATGTCAACAACAACAACGATGTCAACAACAACGTCAACAACAACAGCAACGACGTCAACAACGACAACAACATCGTCATCAACAACGTCAACAACAACAACGATGTCAACAACAACGACGATGTCAACAACAACGTCAACAACAACGATGTCAACAACAACGATGTCAACAACAACGACGATGTCAACAACAACAACAACGTCAACAACAACAACGATGTCAACAACAACAACGATGTCAACAACAACGTCAACAACAACAACGATGTCAACAACAACAACAACGTCATCAACAACGACGTCAACAACAACAACGTCAACAACAACAACGTCAACAACAACAGCAACGACGTCAACAACGACAACATCGTCATCAACAACGTCAACAACAACAACGATGTCAACAACAACGACGATGTCAACAACAACGTCAACAACAACGATGTCAACAACAACGATGTCAACAACAACGACGATGTCAACAACAACAACAACGTCAACAACAACAACGATGTCAACAACAACAACAACGATGTCAACAACAACGTCAACAACAACAACGATGTCAACAACAACAACAACGTCATCAACAACGACGTCAACAACAACAACGTCAACAACAACAACGTCAACAACAACAGCAACGACGTCAACAACGACAACATCGTCATCAACATTGCGCTGTCAGCGTCGTCAACGTCAACATCAACAACATCGTTATCAACATCAACAACAACGTCGTCAACATCAACAACAACGTCGTCAACGTCGTCACCTCCGCCACCGGTACCTCCACCAACATCGCTACCAACATCACCACCACCATCACTACCACCATCACCACCATCACCACCCCCACCATCACTACCACCACCACCATCACTACCACCACCACCATCACCACCACCACCACCACCATCACCACCATCACCACCACCACTACCACCATCACTACTACCACCACCAACATCACCACCACCATCACTACCACCATCACCACCATCACCACCCCCACCATCACTACCACCACCACCATCACTACCACCACCACCATCACCACCACCACCACCACCATCACCACCATCACCACCACCACTACCACCATCACTACTACCACCACCACCATCACTACCACCACCATCACTACCACCACCACCATCACTACCACCACCACTATCACCACCATCACTACCACCACCACCATCATCACCACCACCATCACTACCACCATCATCACCATCACTACCACCATCACCACCACCACTGGTACATCCACCAGCATCACTACCGTCACTACCACCATCATCACCTCCACCATCTCCACCACCACCATCACCACCATCACTACCACCACCACCATCATCACCACCACCATCACCTCCACCACCACCACCATCACCACCACCACCACCACCATCACCACCACCACCACCACCGCGTTGAGTCACCTCTATGAGCATCGACACCGTGAGGTTGATGGCGGCCAGCCCAACGAGGCTGGCACTGAAGGAGTGGGAGGGCAGCGGCCGCAGCTCCATGAGGGACGCGATGGCGCCCGGTGGGGCCAACGTCACCCACAGCTCTAGCACCAGCAGCACCGCCAGCGCCAGCAGGAACGCAGCTACAAGAACAACAACAACAACAACAACACACGGTGGTGGTGGTGGTGGTGGTGATGGTGGTGGTGGTGGTGGGGGTGGTGGTGGGGGTGGTGGTGGTGGTGGAGGTGGAGGTGGTGGTGGAGGTGGTGGTGGTGGTGGAGGTGGTGGGGGTGGTGGTGATGGTGATGGTGGTGGTGATGGTGGTGGTGATGGTGGTGGTGATGGTGGTGGTGGTGATGGTGGTGGTGGTGGAGCTGATGGTGGAGGTGATGGTGATGGTGGGGGTGATGGTGGTGGTGGTGGTGGTGGAGGTGGTGATGGTGGTGGTGGTGATGGTGGTGGTGGTGGTGGAGGTGGTGGTGGTGATGGTGGTGATGGTGGTGGTGATGGTGATGGAGGTGGTGGTGGTGGAGGTGGTGGTGGTGGGGGTGGTGGTGATGGTGGTGGTGATGGTGGTGATGGTGGTGGTGAGGGTGGTGGAGGTGGTGGAGGTGGTGGCGGTGGTGATGGTGGTGGTGGAGGTGGTGGTGATGGTGGAGGTGATGGTGGTGGTGGAGGTGGTGGTGGTGATGGTGGAGGTGATGGTGGTGGTGGAGGTGGAGGTGGTGGTGGTGGTGGAGGTGGTGGTGGTGTAGATGGTGGTGATGGTGGAGGTGATAGTGGAGGTGGTGGTCATGGTGAGTCCCTCTCCCCGTGGTGAGAGTCGGTGAGTGAGTGGGTGGGTGAGTGGGTGGATGAGTGGGTGGGTGAGTGTATGAGTGGGTGGATGAGTGAGTGAGTGGATGAGTGAGTGGGTGGATGAGTGGGTGGGTGAGTGTATGAGTGGGTGGATGAGTGGGTGGGTGAGTGTATGAGTGAGTGAGTGAGTGGGTGGATGTATGAGTGAGTGGGTGGATGGATGAGTGGGTGGGTGAGTGGGTGGATGAGTGAGTGGGTGGATGAATGAGTGGGGGGATGAATGAGTGGGTGGGTGAGTGAGTGGGTGGATGAGTGAGTGGGCGAGTGGGGGGATGAGTGAGTGGGTGACTAGTTGGGGGAGTGAATGACCAGGTGGAGGAGTGGGTGACTAGTTGGGGGAGTGGGTGACTAGGTGGGGGAGTGGGTGACTAGGTTGGAGGAGTGGGTGACTAGGTTGGAGGAGTGGGTGACTAGTTGGAGGAGTGGGTGACTAGGTTGGAGGAGTGGGTGACTAGGTTGGAGGAGTGGGTGACTAGGTTGGAGGAGTGGGTGACTAGGTTGGAGGAGTGGGTGACTAGGTTGGAGGAGTGGGTGACCAGGTGGGGGAGTGGGTGACCAGGTGGGGGAGTGAATGAGTGAGTGGGTGGATGAATGAGTGGGGGGATGAATGAGTGGGTGGGTGAGTGAGTGGGTGGATGAGTGAGTGGGCGAGTGGGGGGATGAGTGAGTGGGTGACTAGGTGGGGGAGTGGGTGACTAGTTGGAGGAGTGGGTGACTAGTTGGAGGAGTGGGTGACTAGGTGGGGGAGTGGGTGACTAGGTGGAGGAGCGAGCGGGTAGGTGGGGGAGTGGGTGACTAGTTGGAGGAGTGGGTGACCAGGTGGGGGAGTGGGTGACTAGGTGGGGGAGTGAGTGGGTGGATGAATGAGTGGGGGGATGAATGAGTGGGTGGGTGAGTGAGTGGGTGGATGAGTGAGTGGGCGAGTGGGGGGGATGAGTGAGTGGGTGACTAGTTGGGGGAGTGGGTGACTAGTTGGAGGAGTGGGTGACTAGGTTGGAGGAGTGGGTGACTAGGTGGAGGAGTGGGTGACTAGGTTGGAGGAGTGGGTGACTAGTTGGAGGAGTGGGTGACTAGGTGGAGGAGTGGGTGACTAGGTTGGAGGAGTGGGTGACTAAGTTGGAGGAGTGGGTGACTAGTTGGAGGAGTGGGTGACTAGGTTGGAGGAGTGGGTGACTAGTTGGAGGAGTGGGTGACTAGGTTGGAGGAGTGGGTGACTAGTTGGAGGAGTGGGTGACTAGGTTGGAGGAGTGGGTGACTAGGTGGGGGAGTGGGTGACTAGGTGGGGGAGTGGGTGACTAGGTGGGGGAGTGGGTGACTAGGTGGAGGAGTGGGTGACTAGGTGGGGGAGTGGGTGACTAGGTGGGGGAGTGGGTGACTAGGTGGAGGAGTGGGTGACTAGGTGGGGGAGTGGGTGACTAGGTGGGGGAGTGAGTGAGTGGGTGGATGAATGAGTGGGGGGATGAATGAGTGGGTGGGTGAGTGAGTGGGTGGATGAGTGAGTGGGCGAGTGGGTGGGTGAGTGGGTGGGTGAGTGCGTGGGTGAGTGAGTGGGTGGATGAGTGAGTGGGCGGATGAGTGAGCGGGTGACTAGTTGGAGGAGTGGGTGACTAGTTGGAGGAGTGGGTGACTAGTTGGAGGAGTGGGTGACTAGGTTGGAGGAGTGGGTGACTAGGTTGGAGGAGTGGGTGACTAGGTTGGAGGAGTGGGTGACTAGGTTGGGGGAGTGGGTGACTAGGTGGGGGAGTGGGTGACTAGTTGGGGGAGTGGGTGACTAGTTGGAGGAGTGGGTGACTAGGTGGGGGAGTGGGTGACTAGGTGTGGGAGTGGGTGACTAGGTTGGAGGAGTGGGTGACTAGGTTGGAGGAGTGGGTGACTAGTTGGGGGAGTGGGTGACTAGGTGGGGGAGTGGGTGACTAGGTGTGGGAGTGGGTGACTAGTTGGAGGAGTGGGTGACTAGGTTGGAGGAGTGGGTGACTAGTTGGAGGAGTGGGTGACTAGTTGGAGGAGTGGGTGACTAGTTGGGGGAGTGGGTGACTAGGTTGGGGGAGTGGGTGACTAGGTTGGAGGAGTGGGTGACTAGGTTCGAGGAGTGGGTGACTAGGTTGGAGGAGTGGGTGACTAGGTTGGAGGAGTGGGTGACTAGTTGGAGGAGTGGGTGACTAGGTTGGGGGAGTGGGTGACTAGGTTGGAGGAGTGGGTGACTAGGTTGGAGGAGTGGGTGACTAGGTGGGGGAGTGGGTGACTAGTTGGAGGAGTGGGTGACCAGGTGGGGGAGTGGGTGACTAGGTGGGGGCGTGAGTGAGTGGGTGGATAAATGAGTGGGGGGATGAATGAGTGGGTGGGTGAGTGAGTGGGTGGATGAGTGAGTGGGCGAGTGGGTGGGTGAGTGGGTGGGTGAGTGAGTGGGTGAGTGAGGGGTGAGTGCGTGGGTGAGTGAGTGGGTGGATGAGTGAGTGGGCGAGTGGGGGGATGAGTGAGTGGGTGACTAGTTGGGGGAGTGGGTGACTAGTTGGGGGAGTGGGTGACTAGGTTGGAGGAGTGGGTGACTAGTTGGAGGAGTGGGTGACTAGGTTGGAGGAGTGGGTGACTAGTTGGAGGAGTGGGTGACTAGGTTGGGGGAGTGGGTGACTAGGTTGGAGGAGTGGGTGACTAGGTTGGAGGAGTGGGTGACTAGGTGGGGGAGTGGGTGACTAGTTGGAGGAGTGGGTGACTAGGTTGGGGGAGTGGGTGACTAGGTTGGGGGAGTGGGTGACTAGGTTGGAGGAGTGGGTGACTAGGTGGGGGAGTGGGTGACTATTTGAAGGAGTGGGTGACTAGGTTGGGGGAGTGGGTGACTAGTTGGAGGAGTGGGTGACTAGGTTGGGGGAGTGGGTGACTAGGTTGGAGGAGTGGGTGACTAGGTTGGAGGAGTGGGTGACTAGGTTGGGGGAGTGGGTGACTAGGTTGGAGGAGTGGGTGACTAGGTTGGAGGAGTGGGTGACTAGTTGGAGGAGTGGGTGACTAGGTTGGAGGAGTGGGTGACTAGGTTGGAGGAGTGGGTGACTAGTTGGAGGAGTGGGTGACTAGGTGGGGGAGTGGGTGACCAGGTGGAGGAGTGAGTGAGTGGGTGGATGAATGAGTGGGGGGATGAATGAGTGGGTGGGTGAGTGAGTGGGTGGATGAGTGAGTGGGCGAGTGGGGGGATGAGTGAGTGGGTGACTAGTTGGGGGAGTGGGTGACTAGTTGGAGGAGTGGGTGACTAGGTTGGAGGAGTGGGTGACCAGTTGGAGGAGTGGGTGACTAGGTGGGGGAGTGGGTGACTAGTTGTAGGAGTGGGTGACTAGTTGGAGGAGTGGGTGACTAGTTGGAGGAGTGGGTGACTAGTTGGGGGAGTGGGTGACTAGGTTGGAGGAGTGGGTGACTAGGTTGGGGGAGTGGGTGACTAGGTTGGAGGAGTGGGTGACTAGGTTGGAGGAGTGGGTGACTAGTTGGAGGAGTGGGTGACTAGTTTGGAGGAGTGGGTGACTAGTTGGAGGAGTGGGTGACTAGGTTGGAGGAGTGGGAGTGGGTGACCAGGTGGGGGAGTGGGTGACTAGGTGGGGGAGTGGGTGACCAGTTGGAGGAGTGGGTGACTAGTTGGAGGAGTGGGTGACTAGTTGGAGGAGTGAGTGACTAGTTGGAGGAGTGGGTGACTAGGTTGGGGGAGTGGGTGACTAGTTGGAGGAGTGGGTGACTAGGTTGGAGGAGTGGGTGACTAGGTTGGAGGAGTGGGTGACTAGTTGGAGGAGTGGGTGACTAGGTTGGAGGAGTGGGTGACTAGTTGGAGGAGTGGGTGACTAGGTAGGGGAGTGGGTGACTAGTTGGGGGAGTGGGTGACTAGTTGGAGGAGTGGGTGACTAGTTGGAGGAGTGGGTGACTAGTTGGAGGAGTGGGTGACTAGTTGGAGGAGTGGGTGACTAGGTTGGAGGAGTGGGTGACTAGTTGGAGGAGTGGGTGACTAGTTGGAGGAGTGGGTGACCAGGTGGGAGAGTGGGTGACCAGGTGGGGGAGTGAATGAGTGAGTGGGTGGGTGAGTGAGTGGGTGGATGAGTGAGTGGGCGAGTGGGGGGATGAGTGAGTGGGTGACTAGTTGGAGGAGTAGGTGACTAGGTTGGAGGAGTGGGTGACTAGGTTGGAGGAGTGGGTGACTAGGTTGGAGGAGTGGGTGACTAGGTTGGAGGAGTGGGTGACTAGTTGGAGGAGTGGGTGACTAGGTGGGGGAGTGGGTGACTAGGTGGGGGAGTGAGTGAGTGGGTGGATGAATGAGTGGGGGGATGAATGAGTGGGTGGGTGAGTGAGTGGGTGGATGAGTGAGTGGGCGAGTGGGTGGGTGAGTGGGTGGTTGAGTGAGTGGGTGAGTGAGGGGTGAGTGCGTGGGTGAGTGAGTGGGTGGATGAGTGAGTGGGCGTGTGGGGGGATGAGTGAGTGGGTGACTAGGTGGAGGAGTGGATGACTAGGTTGGAGGAGTGGGTGACTAGGTTGGGGGTAGTGGGTGACTAGGTTGGGGGTAGTGGGCCTCTCACGGTTCGTGTAGATCGGCCTCCGGAAAGGCCGCCCCTGCGAGAGGGCGGTTGCCACGATGAGGTACTGGAACGACGAGGAGCAGAAGATGACTGTGTTCTCGTAACTCGCCACCGTCTTGGCAACGTCGTCGCCGCCGCCTGGATCCAGCGGTGTGAACCTTGCACCCGTCGGGAGAATGAATCAGCCCGAGAATGAATGAATGAATGAATGAGCGAACGAGCGGGCGGGCGGGCGAGCGAGCGGGCGCCGGGAGTGGGGGGATGGGGCCGAAAGCGAACGGACCGACGGACGGAGCGGCGAGCGGATTGACGGACTGGCGAATGAATGAATGAATGACTGAATGAATGACCCCCACCGATAAGAGTCGGAGCGAATGAATCGGCCGAAAGGGAATGAGCGGGCGGGCGGGCGGGCGCCAGGCCCGCTGATGAGCTGCACGGAGGCCTGGACACCCGCGCGGAGGCCGAAGCGAATGAACCGATGGGCGAACCGGCGGGCGGACGAGCCAATGGCGTAGGGGGCGGCGAACGGACGAGTACCAGGCCTGCTGTCGCAGCAGCAGCAAGGCGGCGAGCTGCACGGCGGCCTGCAGCAGGGCCTGGCCCAAGAGGCTCCCCAGGACGGCGCAGGCCAGGAGGGAGCCGTGGGGCCGCCGGGAGCCCAGCGTGGCGTGCGGCCCAACGCGGCCAATCAGCACGGCGAGGGTCGTCACCACGAAGAGGTCAACGAAGAGGAACTGGGAGTCGCCCAGCGTGGAGCCCACCTGGGGGAATGCGTCGGTGAGTGAATCGGTGAACGAGCGGGGAGGGGGGGTAGTAAGTGGCTCTGTGCGTGTGGGTGCGTGTGTGTGTAGGTGTGTGTGTGTGTGTGTAGGTGTGTGTGTGCGTGTAGGTGTGTGCGTGTAGGTGTTTGTTAGGAGGTGTGCGTGTGTTAGTAGGTGTGTGCTAGTAGGTGTGTGTGTGCTAGTAAGTGTGGGTGTGTGTGTGTGTGTAGGTGCGTGTGTGTGTAGGTGTGTGTGTGTGCGTGTAGGTGTGTGTGTGTGCGTGTAGGTGTTTGTTAGGAGGTGTGCGTGTGTGTGCGTGTAGGTGTGTGTTAGTAGGTGTGTGTGTTGGTAGGTGTGTGTGTGTGCTAGTAAGTGTGGGTGTGTTAGTAGGTGTGTGTGTGTGTGTTAGTAGGTGTGTGTGTTAGTAGGTGTGTGTGTGTGTAGGTGTGTGTGTGTGTAGGTGTGTGTGTGTGCGTGTAGGTGTTTTTTAGGAGGTGTGCGTGTGTTAGTAGGTGTGTGCTAGTAGGTGTGTGTGTGTGCTAGTAAGTGTGGGTGTGTGTGTGTGCTAGTAGGTTTGTGTGTTAGTAGGTGTAGGTGTGTGTTAGTAGGTGTGTGTGTGTTTGGTCCGGCAAAACAACCCCCTACCTCCTCGCGGTGCCGGACGGACAACTCTGTCGTGGACAGTGCTGTGGGGGGAGATCCGATTTTGATTGGCTCCTCCCCTCATGGCATATGTGTCCACCACAGGGGCTAAACGGGGGCTCTGGACGGGTGCGAGGGGCTGGTAACCCCTCCACCTTCAATTAATTACCACGAAACCACGAGTTAAACTGAAATATGTAACTAATAAGCTTGTGCCGGAGGCCCCGGGGGGCCAGGCGTCTTTGACGTCTCCTGGCCAAACCGCAATTGGCGGAGCCAGGAGATTGAATCTCTACCCTCGGGGCTCCTCCAGAAACAACGAAAAGCCACTACGGGTGGCCACGTGGAATGTTCGAACGCTCACTGCGGAGGAGAGGTTGCCACTCCTCTGTCGGGAGCTGGACCGGTACCGCCTGGATCTATGCGGCATTCAGGAGGTCCGGTGGACCGGCTCTGGCTCCTGCCACCATGAGGGGTGGACAGTCCTCTACTCGGGGCAGCAGACTGCCAAACAACAGGGTGTGGCTCTTCTTTTGAACAAAAGAATGAAGGGGGCGTGGGAGCGTGGCGGTGAGGTGTGGGAAGCTGTAAGCCCCAGGCTACTTTGGGCTCGCCTTCCCATCAACCGGAGGCGAGGAATGGTGGTCGTGGTTACTTGTGCCCCCACCGGGGATGAACATCCGTGGAGGGATGCAGGCAAAGCCGATGGGTCAGATGGCTTCTATGACCTCCTGTCACAGGTGCTGGCTAAAGTGGCCCCTCGGGATAGAGTCATCATGTTGGGTGACTTCAATGCCCGAGTTGGCCATGATACTGGCACCTGGTCTGGAGTGATTGGAGGGCATGGGCCAGATCAGCTCAATAACAACGGTAGGAGGCTGCTAGATTTTTGTGCAGCCCATAGGCTTGTAATTACCAACACGCTGTTCCGGCATCGGCGCATCCACACAACATCATGGATGCATGCCGGGTCCAAGCAAGAACATCTGCTGGACTACATAGTGACGGACCAGCGGATGCGAGCCCATGTCCTTGACACCAGAACCTACCGTGGAGCTGTTCTGCCCTCTGACCATCGACTAGTCATCTGTAAGATGCGCCTGCCATTCTTCCACTCCGGTGGTGGGTGTACACCCAGGACCCCATTCCAACATAAAGTGGCCTGGTCTCAGTTGTCTGATGAAAGTTGCAGGCGAGGGTTTCATCATCGCTTGCGGCTGGGATTGGCATCGTCCCCGACTCCTCCTGATGTCGAGGGTAAATGGGCGAGGTTTAGGACTGTGACTCATGCAGCTTCAATGGCTGCTTTGGGTACGCGGTCCAGACCTCCCCAGAGACCCTGGCTGACAGAGGAGGTGTTCAGGATGGTTGAGAAAAAGCGACAGGCCCACTGTCATCGGCTACAGAATCCCACGTCAGAGAATGAGGAGGCTTACCGCAGCCTTCGCTCGGAGGTTCGGAGAGCCGTGAGGCGCTGCAAGGATGGGTGGTGGTCGCGGGTTGCTGAGGAGATGGAGTCTGCCTCAGTGGCCCGTGATCACAAATCTCTATTTAACTCCATCAAAAAAGTAACCTGCAGCGCCACACCTATTACCATTATTAGGGGAAAAACGGTGATCCAATCTCCGACCCCCAGGAACAGGTTCGCAGATTTGCTGAGCATTTCTGTGAGGTCCTGGGGGAGGGAAAATCCCTCAGCCAGGAAAACATCGTGGCACAAAGTGAGGATGACCCTGCTGAGGCTGCAGTGCCTCAAATATTGGAAGAAGTCACCCCCTGTGAGTGGCGGGCTGAGGTGCCATCTGCTGAGGAAGTATTGAAGGCGATCTTGAGTCTGAGACCAGGAAAGGCAGCGGGCAGAGATGATCTCCCAAGCGAAATGCTGAGGGAGGGTGGCGTTTGCGCACAGACTGCCCTATATGACATCATAACAACAGTCTGGACCACTGGACGGGTTCCGCAGGATTGGAAGGATGCCCTGGTGGTCCCCCTTTTTAAGAAGGGGGTCCGCACAGACTGTAACAACTACAGGGGCATCTCACTCCTCAGTGTGCCGGGAAAGGTCCTGGCAAGGATTATTCAGCATCGCCTTGCCAGGCACGCTGAGGAGAGGCTTGCGGAGCCCCAATGCGGTTTCAGGAAAGGGCGGTCCTGCACAGATGCCATATTTTCTGTCCGTCTGCTACAGCAGAGGTGTAGGGAATTCCAACAAGACCTACATCTCTGCTTTATTGACCTGGTCAAGGCCTATGATACCATCAGTAGGCCTGGGCTCTGGGTCGTTCTTCGTGCTTTTGGAGTACCTGACCCTTTGCTCACGATCATTAAGGACCTTCATGATGGTGAGCGGGCCCGGGTAAAACTACGTGGCCGGGAGTCAGAGCCATTCCCTGCACAGCTTGGGGTGCGACAGGGATGTCCTCTGGCTCCCACATTATTTAACATCTATTTTGACCACGTAGTTCGTGAAGCCTTCAATAGCTGTACCGGGGGAATCTCCATATGGTACAGATATAATGGGAGGCTAATCGATGCCCGGGTGCGGTCAAGGGATGGCTCCCTATTGCTCAACCACGTTATGTATGCTGATGATTTGGTAATAGCTGCTCAGTCAGAGGAGGAGTTGGAGACGCTGCTGCTGAGACTGGAGCGTGCCACTAAGAGGTGGGGCCTTACCATCAGCCCCACCAAAACTAAGCACCTGCCTGGGTATTTTGTACCATCGGACACTCTACCCCCACAACTCCCAATCGGTGATGGGGCAGTTGTGGAGAGAGTGGAGAGTTTCCCATACCTGGGCAGTGTGCTTATGACTGGCTCCAGTTTAACAGCAGAGGTCTCACTCCGAATCAGTCGAGCGGCAATATCTTTTCATCGGTTGCGTAACGCTGTGTGGAAGCAACCTGGTCTGTCGCTCCGCACTAAGCTTCAGGTCTTCTCGGCCACGGTCATTCCCTCCCTTCTCTACGTTTGCGAAACGTGGACCCCCCTAATGGAACATCTTCGCCGGTTGGAAACATTTAGGCTGGCCTGCCTACGATCCATCCTGGGTTTAACCAGACTGGATTGTGTGAGGAGCTCACAAATCCTTGAAAGATCTGGGCAGGGTCCCATCGGTGAGCTCCTCCGGCAGGCAAGGCTGCGATGGCTGGGTCATGTAGCCCGCATGCCCAGCCACCGCATGCCAAAATAGCTTTTGTTTGGCCGGATTGAGGGGGCTAAGCGGGCGCGGCACGGGCTAGAGAAGAGATGGAGTGATGTGGTACAGGAGGACGTGGAGCTGAGTGGACTTGCCGATGACTGGTACCAGCGGTGTCAAGATCGACCTCTGTGGAGGAGGCTCGTGAAGGATGCTACTGGGCAGTTAGAGGCAGTCGCCCTCCAACAACAACGGAGGGCGGAGGAGCGACGCTCAGAACAACGAGCGGAGCGCCGGGTGGCTAAAGCACAGCAGGTTGGCACAGTAGGGGGCACAGGTGGTGCATCAGCCAGTCATCTCAGTCAGTCGACCCGTGGCACCTGGGTCTGCCCCGTGACCTCCTGCCAGCGGGCGTTCGACACTTCACGTGGCCTCAAGGTCGTGGTGACGTCACCGCCACTTAGTGGCGAATGGCAGTTGTTGTGTGTCACTGTGTGTGTGTCACTGTGTGTCACTGTGTCACTGTGTGTGTCACTGTGTGTGTGTCACTGTGTGTGTCACTGTGTGTGTGTCACACTGTGTGTGTGTCACACTGTGTCACTGTGTGTGTCACTGTGTGTGTCACACTGTGTGTGTCACTGTGTGTGTCACTGTGTGTGTGTCACTGTGTGTGTGTCACACTGTGTGTGTCACTGTGTGTGTCACTGTGTGTCACTGTGTGTGTGTCACTGTGTGTGTGTGTCACTGTGTGTGTGTCACACTGTGTGTGTCACTGTGTGTGTCACTGTGTGTCACACTGTGTGTGTCACTGTGTATGTCACTGTGTGTGTGTGTCACTGTGTGTGTCACTGTGTGTGTCACACTGTGTCACTGTGTGTGTCACTGTGTGTGTCACTGTGTGTCACACTGTGTGTGTCACTGTGTGTGTCACTGTGTGTGTCACTGTGTGTGTGTCACTGTGTGTGTGTTACTGTGTGTGTGTCACTGTGTGTGTGTGTCACTGTGTGTGTGTCACTGTGTGTGTGTCACTGTGTGTGTCACACTGTGTGTGTCACACTGTGTGTGTCACTGTGTGTCGCTGTGTGTGTCACTGTGTGTGTGTCACTGTGTGTGTCACTGTGTGTGTCACACTGTGTGTCACACTGTGTGTGTCACTGTGTGTCGCTGTGTGTCACTGTGTGTGTGTCACTGTGTGTGTCACTGTGTGTGTGTCACTGTGTGTGTCACTGTGTGTGTCACTGTGTGTGTGTCACTGTGTGTGTGTCACTGTGTGTGTCACTGTGTGTGTCACTGTGTGTCACTGTGTGTGTCACTGTGTGTGTGTCACTGTGTGTGTGTCACTGTGTGTCACTGTGTGTCACTGTGTGTGTGTCACTGTGTGTGTGTCACTGTGTGTGTCACACTGTGTGTGTCACTGTGTGTGTCACTGTGTGTGTGTCACACTGTGTGTGTCACTGTGTGTGTCACTGTGTGTGTGTCACTGTGTGTGTGTCACTGTGTGTGTCACACTGTGTGTGTGTCACTGTGTGTGTCACTGTGTGTGTTTGTCACGGTGTGTCACTGTGTGTGTGTGTCACTGTGTGTGTCACTGTGTGTGTGTGTCACTGTGTGTGTGTCACTGTGTGTCACTGTGTGTGTCACTGTGTGTGTGTGTCACTGTGTGTGTCACTGTGTGTGTGTGTCACTGTGTGTGTGTCACTGTGTGTGTCACACTGTGTGTGTCACACTGTGTGTGTCACACTGTGTGTGTCACACTGTGTGTGTCACTGTGTGTGTCACTGTGTGTGTGTCACTGTGTGTGTCACTGTGTGTGTGTCACTGTGTGTGTCACTGTGTGTCACTGTGTGTGTGTCACTGTGTGTGTGTCACTGTGTGTGTCACTGTGTGTGTCACTGTGTGTGTCACTGTGTGTGTGTCACTGTGTGTGTGTGTCACTGTGTGTGTCACACTGTGTGTGTCACTGTGTGTGTGTCACTGTGTGTGTGTGTCACTGTGTGTGTGTGTCACTGTGTGTGTGTCACTGTGTGTGTGTGTCACTGTGTGTGTGTCACTGTGTGTCACTGTGTGTGTGTCACTGTGTGTGTGTGTCACTGTGTGTGTGTCACTGTGTGTCACTGTGTGTGTGTGTGTGTCACTGTGTGTGTCACACTGTGTGTGTCACTGTGTGTGTGTCACTGTGTGTGTGTCACTGTGTGTGTGTCACTGTGTGTGTCACTGTGTGTGTCACTGTGTGTGTGTGTGTCACTGTGTATCACTATGTGTGTCACACTGTGTGTGTCACACTATGTGTGTCACTGTGTGTGTCACTGTGTGTGTGTCACTGTGTGTGTCACTGTGTGTGTCACTGTGTGTGTGTGTCACTGTGTGTGTCACTGTGTGTGTGTCACTGTGTGTGTCACTGTGTGTGTGTGTCACTGTGTGTGTCACTGTGTGTGTGTCACTGTGTGTGTCACTGTGTATGTGTCACTGTGTGTCACCGTGTGTGTCACTGTGTGTGTCACTGTGTGTGTGTCACCGTGTGTGTCACTGTGTGTGTGTGTCACCGTGTGTGTCACTGTGTGTGTGTGACTGTGTGTGTCACTGTGTGTGTCACTGTGTGTGTGTCACTGTGTGTGTCACACTGTGTGTGTGTGTCACTGTGTGTGTCACTGTGTCACTGTGTGTGTGTGTCACTGTGTGTGTCACACTGTGTGTGTCACACTGTGTGTGTCACTGTGTGTGTCACTGTGTGTGTGTCACTGTGTGTGTCACACTGTGTGTGTCACTGTGTGTGTGTGTCACTGCGTGTGTGTGTCACTGTGTATGTCACTGTGTGTGTGTCACTGTGTGTGTCACACTGTGTGTGTGTGTCACTGTGTGTGTCACACTGTGTGTGTGTGTCACTGTGTGTGTCACTGTGTGTGTGTCACTGTGTGTGTCACACTGTGTGTGTCACTGTGTGTGTGTCACTGTGTGTCACTGTGTGTGTCACTGTGTGTGTCACTGTGTGTGTGAGTGTGTCACTGAGTGTGTCACTGTGTGTGTGTCACTGTGTGTCACTGTGTGTGTCACTGTGTGTGTGTCACTGTGTGTGTCACTGTGTGTCACACTGTGTGTGTGTCACTGTGTGTGTGTCACTGTGTGTGTGTCACTGTGTGTGTGTGTCACTGTGTGTGTCACACTGTGTGTGTCACTGTGTGTGTCACTGTGTGTGTCACTGTGTGTGTGTCACTGTGTGTGTGTGTGTCACACTGTGTGTCACTGTGTGTGTCACTGTGTGTGTGTCACTGTGTGTGTGTGTCACACTGTGTGTGTCACTGTGTGTGTGTCACTGTGTGTGTGTGTCACTGTGTGTGTCACTGTGTGTGTGTCACTGTGTGTGTCACACTGTGTGTGTCACACTGTGTGTGTCACTGTGTGTGTGTGTCACTGTGTGTGTGTGTCACTGTGTGTGTGTCACTGTGTGTGTCACTGTGTGTGTGTGTCACTGTGTGTGTCACTGTGTGTGTGTCACTGTGTGTGTGTCACTGTGTGTGTCACTGTGTGTGTCACTGTGTGTGTGTCACTGTGTGTGTCACACTGTGTGTGTCACTGTGTGTGTGTGTCACTGTGTGTGTGTCACTGTGTGTGTGTGTCACTGTGTGTGTCACTGTGTGTGTGTGTCACTGTGTGTGTATCACTGTGTGTCACTGTGTGTGTCACTGTGTGTGTGTCACTGTGTGTGTCACTGTGTGTGTCACTGTGTGTGTGTGTCACTGTGTGTGTCACTGTGTGTGTGTGTGTCACTGTGTGTGTCACTGTGTGTGTCACTGTGTGTCACTGTGTGTGTCACTGTGTGTGTCACTGTGTGTGTGTGTCACTGTGTGTGTCACTGTGTGTGTCACTGTGTGTGTGTCACTGTGTGTCACTGTGTGTGTGTCACTGTGTGTGTCACTGTGTGTGTCACTGTGTGTGTGTCACTGTGTGTGTCACACTGTGTGTGTGTCACTGTGTGTGTGTGTCACACTGTGTGTGTGTCACTGTGTGTGTGTCACTGTGTGTGTGTCACTGTGTATCACTGTGTGTCACTGTGTGTGTGTCACTGTGTGTGTCACTGTGTGTGTCACTGTGTGTGTGTCACTGTGTGTGTCACTGTGTGTGTCACACTGTGTGTGTGTCACTGTGTGTGTCACACTGTGTGTGTCACTGTGTGTGTCACTGTGTGTGTGTCACTGTGTGTGTGTCACTGTGTGTGTCACTGTGTGTGTGTCACTGTGTGTGTCACTGTGTGTGTGTCACTGTGTGTGTGTGTCACTGTGTGTGTGTCTGTGTGTGTGTCACTGTGTGTGTGTGTCACTGTGTGTGTGTCACACTGTGTGTGTCACACTGTGTGTGTCACTGTGTGTGTCACTGTGTGTGTCACTGTGTGTGTCACTGTGTGTGTCACCGTGTACAGGATGAGCACCGATGTGAACTGGATGAATGAGTAGAGAGCCATGAACTTGAAGACGACACTCAGTGACACACACACTGTGTCACTGTGTGTGTGTCACTGTGTGTGTGTGTCACTGTGTGTGTCACTGTGTGTGTGTCACTGTGTGTGTGTCACTGTGTGTGTCACTGTGTGTCACTGTGTGTATCACTGTGTGTGTGTGTGTCACTGTCACTGTGTGTGTCACTGTGTGTGTCACTGTGTGTGTGTGTCACTGTGTGTGTCACTGTCACTGTGTGTGTCACTGTGTGTGTCACTGTGTGTGTGTCACTGTGTGTGTGTCACTGTGTATCACTGTGTGTGTCACTGTGTGTGTCACTGTGTGTGTGTGTCACTGTGTGTGTCACACTGTGTGTGTCACACTGTGTGTGTCACTGTGTGTGTCACTGTGTGTGTCACACTGTGTGTGTCACTGTGTGTGTCACTGTGTGTGTCACCGTGTACAGGATGAGCACCGATGTGAACTGGATGAATGAGTAGAGAGCCATGAACTTGAAGACGACACTCAGTGACACACACACAGTGTCACTGTGTGTGTGTCACTGTGTGTGTCACTGTGTGTGTCACTGTGTGTGTATCACTGTGTGTGTCACTGTGTGTGTCACTGTGTGTGTCACTGTGTGTGTGTGTCACTGTGTGTGTCACACTGTGTGTGTGTCACTGTGTGTGTCACACTGTGTGTGTCACTGTGTGTGTCACCGTGTACAGGATGAGCACCGATGTGAACTGGATGAATGAGTAGAGAGCCATGAACTTGAACACGACACTCAGTGACACACACACAGTGTCACTGTGTGTGTGTCACTGTGTGTGTGTGTCACTGCGTGTGTCACTGTGTGTGTCACACTGTGTGTCACTGTGTGTGTCACACTGTGTGTGTCACTGTGTGTGTCACTGTGTGTGTGTCACTGTGTGTGTCACACTGTGTGTCACACTGTGTGTGTCACTGTGTGTGTCACACTGTGTGTGTCACTGTGTGTGTCACACTGTGTGTGTCACTGTGTGTGTCACTGTGTGTGTGTCACACACTGTGTGTCACTGTGTGTCACTGTGTGTCACACTGTGTGTGTCACTGTGTGTGTCACTGTGTGTGTCACTGTGTGTGTCACCGTGTACAGGATGAGCACCGATGTGAACTGGATGAATGAGTAGAGAGCCATGAACTTGAACACGACACTCAGTGACACACACACAGTGTCACTGTGTGTGTGTCACTGTGTGTGTGTGTCACTGTGTGTCACACTGTGTGTGTGACTGTGTGTGTGTCACTGTGTGTGTGTCACACTGTGTGTGTCACACTGTGTGTGTCACTGTGTGTGTGTCACTGTGTGTGTCACACTGTGTGTGTCACTGTGTGTGTGTCACTGTGTGTGTCACTGTGTGTGTGTCACTGTGTGTGTCACTGTGTGTGTCACTGTGTGTGTCACTGTGTGTGTGTGTCACTGTGTGTGTCACTGTGTGTGTGTCACTGTGTGTGTCACCGTGTACAGGATGAGCACCGATGTGAACTGGATGAATGAGTAGAGAGCCATGAACTTGAAGACGACACTCAGTGACACACACACAGTGTCACTGTGTGTGTCACTGTGTGTGTGTGTCACTGTGTGTGTGTCACTGTGTGTGTGTCACTGTGTGTGTCACTGTGTGTGTCACCGTGTACAGGATGAGCACCGATGTGAACTGGATGAATGAGTAGAGAGCCATGAACTTGAAGACGACACTCAGTGACACACACACAGTGTCACTGTGTGTGTCACTGTGTGTGTCACTGTGTGTGTGTGTCACTGTGTGTGTGTCACACTGTGTGTGTGTCACTGTGTGTGTCACTGTGTGTGTCACCGTGTACAGGATGAGCACCGATGTGAACTGGATGAATGAGTAGAGAGCCATGAACTTGAACACGACACTCAGTGACACACACACAGTGTCACTGTGTGTGTGTCACTGTGTGTGTGTGTCACTGCGTGTGTCACTGTGTGTGTCACACTGTGTGTCACTGTGTGTGTCACACTGTGTGTGTCACTGTGTGTGTCACTGTGTGTGTGTCACTGTGTGTGTCACACTGTGTGTCACACTGTGTGTGTCACTGTGTGTGTCACACTGTGTGTGTCACTGTGTGTGTCACACTGTGTGTGTCACTGTGTGTGTGTCACTGTGTGTGTGTCACACACTGTGTGTCACTGTGTGTGTCACTGTGTGTCACACTGTGTGTGTCACTGTGTGTGTCACTGTGTGTGTCACTGTGTGTGTCACCGTGTACAGGATGAGCACCGATGTGAACTGGATGAATGAGTAGAGAGCCATGAACTTGAACACGACACTCAGTGACACACACACAGTGTCACTGTGTGTGTGTCACTGTGTGTGTGTGTCACTGTGTGTCACACTGTGTGTGTGACTGTGTGTGTGTGTCACTGTGTGTGTGTCACACTGTGTGTGTCACACTGTGTGTGTCACTGTGTGTGTGTCACTGTGTGTGTCACACTGTGTGTGTCACTGTGTGTGTGTCACTGTGTGTGTCACTGTGTGTGTGTCACTGTGTGTGTCACTGTGTGTGTCACTGTGTGTGTCACTGTGTGTGTGTGTCACTGTGTGTGTCACTGTGTGTGTGTCACTGTGTGTGTCACCGTGTACAGGATGAGCACCGATGTGAACTGGATGAATGAGTAGAGAGCCATGAACTTGAAGACGACACTCAGTGACACACACACAGTGTCACTGTGTGTGTCACTGTGTGTGTGTGTCACTGTGTGTGTGTCACTGTGTGTGTGTCACTGTGTGTGTCACTGTGTGTGTCACCGTGTACAGGATGAGCACCGATGTGAACTGGATGAATGAGTAGAGAGCCATGAACTTGAAGACGACACTCAGTGACACACACACAGTGTCACTGTGTGTGTGTCACTGTGTGTGTCACTGTGTGTGTGTGTCACTGTGTGTGTGTCACACTGTGTGTGTGTCACTGTGTGTGTCACTGTGTGTGTCACCGTGTACAGGATGAGCACCGATGTGAACTGGATGAATGAGTAGAGAGCCATGAACTTGAAGACGACACTCAGTGACACACACACAGTGTCACTGTGTGTGTGTCACTGTGTGTGTGTGTGTCACTGTGTGTGTCACTGTGTGTGTATCACTGTGTGTGTCACTGTGTGTCACTGTGTGTGTGTGTCACTGTGTGTGTGTCACTGTGTGTGTGTGTCACTGTGTGTGTGTCACTGTGTGTGTGTCACTGTGTGTGTCACCGTGTACAGGATGAGCACCGATGTGAACTGGATGAATGAGTAGAGAGCCATGAACTTGAACACGACACTCAGTGTGACACACACACAGTGTCACTGTGTGTGTGTCACTGTGTGTGTGTGTCACTGTGTGTGTCACTGTGTGTGTGTCACTGTGTGTGTGTGTCACTGTGTGTGTCACTGTGTGTGTGTCACTGTGTGTGTCACTGTGTGTGTGTCACTGTGTGTGTGTCACTGTGTGTGTGTGTCACTGTGTGTGTGTGTCACTGTGTGTGTGTCACTGTGTGTGTCACCGTGTACAGGATGAGCACCGATGTGAACTGGATGAATGAGTAGAGAGCCATGAACTTGAAGACGACACTCAGTGACACACACACAGTGTCACTGTGTGTGTGTCACTGTGTGTGTGTCACTGTGTGTGTCACTGTGTGTGTCACACTGTGTGTGTCACTGTGTGTGTGTCACTGTGTGTGTGTCACTGTGTGTGTCACTGTGTGTGTCACCGTGTACAGGATGAGCACCGATGTGAACTGGATGAATGAGTAGAGAGCCATGAACTTGAAGACGACACTCAGTGTGACACACACACAGTGTCACTGTGTGTGTGTCACTGTGTGTGTGTCACTGTGTGTGTCACTGTGTGTGTGTCACTGTGTGTGTCACTGTGTGTGTGTCACTGTGTGTGTGTCACTGTGTATCACTGTGTGTGTGTGTGTCACTGTGTGTGTCACACTGTGTGTGTCACTGTGTGTGTGTCACTGTGTGTGTCACTGTGTGTGTCACTGTGTGTGTCACTGTGTGTGCCATAGTGTGTGTGTGTGTCACTGTGTGTGTGTCACTGTGTGTGTCACACTGTGTGTGTCACACTGTGTGTGTCACTGTGTGTGTGTCACTGTGTGTGTGTCACTGTGTGTGTGTGTCACTGTGTGTGTGTCACTGTGTATCACTGTGTGTGTGTGTGTCACTGTGTGTGTCACTGTGTGTGTCACTGTGTGTGTGTCACTGTGTGTGTGTCACTGTGTATCACTGTGTGTGTGTGTGTCACTGTGTGTGTCACTGTGTGTCACACTGTGTGTGTCACCGTGTACAGGATGAGCACCGATGTGAACTGGATGAATGAGTAGAGAGCCATGAACTTGAACACGACACTCAGTGTGACACACACACAGTGTCACTGTGTGTGTGTCACTGTGTGTGTGTCACTGTGTGTGTCACTGTGTGTGTGTCACTGTGTGTGTGTCACTGTGTGTGTGTCACTGTGTGTGTGTGTCACTGTGTATCACTGTGTGTGTGTGTGTCACTGTGTGTGTCACTGTGTGTCACACTGTGTGTGTCACCGTGTACAGGATGAGCACCGATGTGAACTGGATGAATGAGTAGAGAGCCATGAACTTGAACACGACACTCAGTGTGACACACACACAGTGTCACTGTGTGTGTGTCACTGTGTGTGTGTCACTGTGTGTGTCACTGTGTGTGTGTCACTGTGTGTGTGTCACTGTGTGTGTGTGTCACTGTGTGTGTGTCACTGTGTATCACTGTGTGTGTGTGTGTCACTGTGTGTGTCACTGTGTGTCACACTGTGTGTGTCACCGTGTACAGGATGAGCACCGATGTGAACTGGATGAATGAGTAGAGAGCCATGAACTTGAACACGACACTCAGTGTGACACACACACAGTGTCACTGTGTGTGTGTCACTGTGTGTGTGTCACTGTGTGTGTCACTGTGTGTGTGTCACTGTGTGTGTGTCACTGTGTGTGTGTCACTGTGTGTGTGTGTCACTGTGTATCACTGTGTGTGTGTGTGTCACTGTGTGTGTCACTGTGTGTCACACTGTGTGTGTCACCGTGTACAGGATGAGCACCGATGTGAACTGGATGAATGAGTAGAGAGCCATGAACTTGAAGACGACGAATGACGTCACGAGGGAGGCGCGGCCCTCACTGGGGTGGGGGAGGGGTGAGTCACAAAGAACCCACCGTGACCCCACCGTGACCCCACCGTGACCCCACCGTGACCCCACCCGCCTCGTGACACTAACGTGACCCCACCATGGCCTACTCCCCAGTGACCCCACCGTGACCCCCATCCCGTGACCTCCACGTGACCTACCCCCCGCCGCCCCACCCCCACAGCGACACACACTCGCCCCACCCCCACAGCGACACACACTTGCCCCACCCCCACAGCGACACACACTTGCCCCACCCCCCCCCCACCGCGACACACACTCGCCCCACCGGATGATGGCTGGCAGGCAGGTGATGTTCTGGGTGACCCCCACGTGACCCCCACGTGACCCCCACGTGACCCCCACACACACTCGCCCCACCGGATGATGGCTGGCAGGCAGGTGATGTTCTGGGTGACCCCCATCCCGTGACCCCCACGTGACCCCCACGTGACCCCCACACACACTCGCCCCACCGGATGATGGCTGGCAGGCAGGTGATGTTCTGGGTGACCCCCACGTGACCCCCACGTGACCCCCACACACACTCGCCCCACCGGATGATGGCTGGCAGGCAGGTGATGTTCTGGGTGACCCCCATCCCGTGACCCCCACGTGACCCCCATCCCGTGACCCCCACGTGACCCCCACACACACTCGCCCCACCGGATGATGGCTGGCAGGCAGGTGATGTTCTGGGTGACCCCCATCCCGTGACCCCCACGTGACCCCCACGTGACCCCCACACACACTCGCCGCACCGGATGATGGCTGGCAGGCAGGTGATGTTCTGGGTGACCCCCATCCCGTGACCCCCACGTGACCCCCACGTGACCCCCACACACACTCGCCCCACCGGATGATGGCTGGCAGGCAGGTGATGTTCTGGGTGACCCCCACGTGACCCCCACGTGACCCCCACGTGACCCCCACACACACTCGCCCCACCGGATGATGGCTGGCAGGCAGGTGATGTTCTGGGTGCGTGAGGTGAAGGGGGAGGCCACGGAGGCCTCGGCCTCCGACAGGGAGACGCCGATGTCTGCGGCGCGCAGCGCTCCGCAGTCGTTGGCACCGTCCCCGCACATCGCCACGCAGTAGCTGCCTCGCACAGACACGCCGTGAGACACACAGACACGCACAGACACGCCGTGAGACACACACAGACACACGCCGTGAGACACACACAGACACACAGACACGCTGTGAGAGAGACACAGACACGCTGTGACACACACACAGACACGCCGTGAGACACAGACACACGCCGTGAGACACACAGACACACACAGACACGCTGAGACACACACACACACAGACATGCTGTGAGAGAGACACAGACACGCTGAGACACACACACAGACACGCTGTGAGAGAGACACACAGACACGCTGTGACACACACACACACACACACAGACACGCTGTGACACACAGACACACACACAGACACGCTGTGAGAGAGACACAGACACGCTGAGACACACAGTCGTTGGCACCGTCCCCGCACATCGCCACGCAGTAGCTGCCTCGCACAGACACGCCGTGACACACACAGACACACACAGACACGCCGTGAGACACACAGACACACGCCGTGACACACAGACACGCCGTGACACACACACAGACACGCCGTGACACACAGACACGCCGTGAGACGCACACAGACACGCCGTGAGACACACACACACAGACACGCTGTGACACACAGACACACACACAGACACGCTGTGAGAGAGACACAGACACGCCGAGACACACACAGACACACGCTGTGAGACACACAGACACGCTGTGAGAGAGACACAGACACACTGAGACACACAGTCGTTGGCACCGTCCCCGCACATCGCCACGCAGTAGCTGCCTCGCACAGACACGCCGTGACACACAGACACGCTGTGAGACACAGACACACACAGACACACACAGACACGCTGTGAGAGAGACACAGACACACACAGACACGCTGTGAGAGAGACACAGACACGCCGTGACACACAGACACGCTGTGACACACAGACACGCCGTGACACACAGACACGCTGTGAGACACACAGACACGCTGTGAGACACAGACACGCTGTGACACACACAGACACGCTGTGACATACACAGACACGCTGTGACACACACAGACACGCCGTGACACACAGACACGCTGTGAGACACACACAGACACGCCGTGAGACACACAGACACGCAGTGACACACACACACACGCTGTGACACACAGACACACACACAGACACGCTGTGAGAGAGACACAGACACGCTGTGAGATACAGACACACGCTGTGACACACACAGACACACACACAGACACGCTGTGAGAGAGACACAGACACACTGAGACACACAGTCGTTGGCACCGTCCCCGCACATCGCCACGCAGTAGCTGCCTCGCACAGACACGCCGTGAGACACAGACACACTGTGACACACACAGACACGCTGTGACACACACACACACACACAGACACGCCGTGACACACAGACACGCCGTGACACACACACACACACAGACACGCTGTGAGACACACAGACACGCTGTGACACACAGACACGCAGTGACACACAGACACGCCGTGAGACACACAGACACGCTGTGACACACACAGACACGCCGTGACACACAGACACGCTGTGACACACACAGACACGCCGTGAGACACACAGACACGCCGTGAGACTCACAGACACGCAGTGACACACAGACACGCCGTGACACACACAGACACGCTGTGAGACACACAGACACGCAGTGACACACAGACACGCCGTGACACACAGACACGCTGTGACACACAGACACGCCGTGAGACACACAGACACGCCGTGAGACTCACAGACACGCAGTGACACACAGACACGCCGTGACACACAGACACGCCGTGACACACAGACACGCTGTGAGACACACAGACACGCCGTGACACACAGACACGCTGTGACACACACAGACACGCTGTGACACACAGACACGCCGTGACACACAGACACGCCGTGACACACAGACACGCTGTGAGACACACAGACACGCTGTGAGACACAGACACGCTGTGACACACAGACACGCCGTGACACACAGACACGCTGTGAGACACACAGACACGCTGTGAGACACACAGACACGCTGTGACACACAGACACGCTGTGAGACACACAGTAGCTGACGAAGGTGATGGTGACGATGGTGACGGTGATGATGGTGATGATGACGGTGGTGATGATGGTGACGACGATGGTGATGGTGATGACGATGGTAACGATGGTGATGGTGATGATGACGGTGACGATGATGATGGTGATGATGATGGTAATGATGATGGTGACGATGATGACGGTGATGATGACGGTGATGATGGTGACGATGATGGTGGTGATGATGATGGTGACGATGGCGATGACGGCGACGATGGCGACGACTGACGGCAGTGCTCACTCGAGTCCCTGCAGCATCTCCACCAGCTGCGCCTTCTGCTCCGGAGACATACGTGCGTACACCGTGGCCCTGAGCAGCACCTGCAGCCACCACGCGCACAGACGCCAACGTCTCGCCAACGTCTCGGCAACGTCTCGGCAACGTCTCGGCAAAGTCTCGGCAAAGTCTCGCCAACGTCTCGGCAAAGTCTCAGCAAAGTATCGCCAACGTCTCGCCAACGTCTCGACAAAGTCTCGGCAAAGTCTCGCCAACGTCTCGGCAAAGTCTCACCAACGTCTCGGCAAAGTCTCGGCAAAGTCTCGCCAACGTCTCGGCAAAGTCTCGCCAACGTCTCGGCAAAGTCTCTGCAAAGTCTCACCAACGTCTCGGCAAAGTCTCGCCAACGTCTCAGCAAAGTCTCGGCAAAGTCTCGGCAAAGTCTCGCCCGACGTCTCGGCAAAGTCTCGGCCGACTCGGGAATATCTCGGCAACGCCTCGGCTGACTCGGCAACACCTCGGCAAAATGTCTCGGCAACTTCTTGGCAATGTGTCGGCACGCTCGGCAAAGTCTCGGCCGACTCGGCAACTTCTTGGCAACGTCTCGGCAACATCTCGGCAACGTCCCGGCAACTTCTTGGCAATGTGACGGCACACTCGGCAACCCCTAAGAAGGAGTGGGGGAGATGTCCCTCCCCCCCCCCACTCACCCACTCACTCACCAACCCCCCCACCAACAACCCCCCCACCAACAACCCCCCCACCAACCCTCCACCCACCTTGGGCACGAGGTCCGGGAAGAAGCGACGGACGGCGTCGAAGGACTTCCCGTTGAGAGCCAGGTGACATCGCGGCGGTGGCAGCGATGAGGAGGGGGTGGAGGAGGTGGAGGGGGTGGAGGAGGTGGAGGAGGTGGAGGAGGTGGAGGAGGTGGAGGAGGGGGTGGAGAGGAAGGTGGAGGAGGTGGAGATAGCGGCCTGGAACGCAGACACACGGGTCATCGTCACCGGATTCGCCCACTCGCCCACTCACTCAGCCACTCACTCACTCACTCACCCACTCACCCACTCAGTCACTCACTCAGCCACCCACTCACTCACCCACTCACCCACCCACTCACCCACTAACTCACTCGCTCACCCACTCACCCACTCACTCACTCGCCCACTCACCCACTCACCCACTCACTCACTCACCCACTCACTCACACACACACACTCACCCACTCACTCATCCACTCACCCACTCACTCACTCACCCACCCACCCACTCACCCACTAACTCACTCACTGACCCACTCACTCACCCACTCACTCACCCACTCACTCGCTCACTCACTCACTCACCCACTCACTCATCCACTCACTCACTCACTCACCCACCCACCCACCCACTAACTCACTCGCTCACCCACTCACCCACTCACTCACTCGCCCACTCACCCACTCACCCACTCACAACTCACTCACTCCCCCACTCACCCACTCACTCACTCACTCACCCACTCACTCGCTCACTCACTCACTCACTCACCCACTCACTCATCCACTCACTCACTCACCCACCCACTCACCCACTCAGTCACTCACCCACTCACTCAGTCAATCACCCACCCACTCACCCACTTACTCACCCACTCACTCACTCGCTCACTCACTCACCCACCCACTCACCCACCAACTCACTCACTCACTCACCCACTCAGTCACTCACCCACCCGCTCACTCACTCAGTCAATCACCCACCCACTCACTCACTCACTCACCCACCCACCCACCCACTCACTCACTCACCCACTCACTCACTCACTCACCCACTCACTCACACACTCACCCACTCACCCACTAACTCACTCGCTCACTCACCCACCCACCCACCCACTCACTCACTCACTCACCCACTCACCCACCCACTCACCCATCCACTCACTCACCCACCCACCCACTCGCTCACCCACCCACCCACCCACTCGCTCACCCACCCACTCACCCACTAACTCACTCGCTCACCCACTCACTCACCCACTCACTCACCCACTCACCCATCCACTCACCCACCCACTCACCCACTCACCCACCCACTCACCCACCCACTCACCCACCCACCCACTCACCCACCCACCCACTCACCCACCCACCCACTCACCCACTCACTCACCCACTCACCCATCCACTCACTCACCCACTCACTCACTCACCCACTCACCCACCCACTCACCCACCCACCCACTCACCCACCCACCCACTCACCCACTCACTCACCCACTCACTCACCCACCCACTCACCCACCCACCCACCCACTCACTCACTCACCCACTCACTCACCCACTCACTCACCCACCCACTCACCCACCCACTCACTCACTCACCCACTCACCCACCCACTCACTCACTCACCCACTCACCCACTAACTCACTCACTCACCCACTCACTCACCCACCCACCCACTCACTCACTCACCCACTCACTCACTCACCCACTCACACACCCACCCACTCACCCACCCACTCACCCACCCACTCACTCACTCACTCACCCACTCACTCACCCACTCACTCACTCACTCACCCACTCACTCAGTCACTCACCCACTCACTCACCCACTCACCCACCCACTCACCCACCCACCCACTCACCCACCCACCCACTCACCCACCCACCCACTCACTCACTCACCCACTCACCCACCCACCCACTCACTCACCCACCCACCCACTCACCCACCCACCCACCCACCCACTCACTCACCCACCCACCCACTCACCCACCCACTCACCCACCCACCCACCCACCCACTCACTCACTCACCCACTCACTCGCTCACTCACTCACTCACCCACTCACTCATCCACTCACTCACTCACTCACCCACCCACCCACTCACCCACTAACTCACTCGCTCACCCACTCGCCCACTCACTCACTCGCCCACTCACCCACTCACCCACTCACAACTCACTCACTCCCCCACTCACCCACTCACTCACTCACCCACTCACTCGCTCACTCACTCACTCACCCACTCACTCATCCACTCACTCACTCACCCACCCACTCACCCACTCAGTCACTCACCCACTCACTCAGTCAATCACCCACCCACTCACCCACTTACTCACCCACTCACTCACTCGCTCACTCACTCACCCACCCACTCACCCACCCACTCACTCACTCACCCACTCAGTCACTCACCCACCCGCTCACTCACTCAGTCAATCACCCACCCACTCACTCACTCACTCACCCACCCACCCACCCACTCACTCACTCACCCACTCACTCACTCACCCACTCACTCACACACTCACCCACTCACCCACTAACTCACTCGCTCACTCACCCACCCACCCACTCACTCACTCACTCACCCACTCACCCACCCACTCACCCATCCACTCACTCACCCACCCACCCACTCTCTCACCCACCCACCCACCCACTCGCTCACCCACCCACTCACCCACTAACTCACTCGCTCACCCACTCACTCACCCACTCACTCACCCACTCACCCATCCACTCACTCACCCACCCACTCACTCACCCACTCACCCACCCACTCACCCACCCACCCACTCATCCACTCACTCACCCACTCACTCACCCACTCACTCACTCACCCACTCACCCACCCACTCACCCACCCACCCACTCACCCACCCACCCACTCACCCACTCACTCACCCACTCACTCACCCACCCACTCACCCACCCACCCACCCACTCACTCACTCACCCACTCACTCACTCACCCACTCACTCACTCACCCACTCACTCACCCACCCACTCACTCACTCGCTCACTCACCCACTCACCCACCCACTCACTCACTCACCCACTCACTCACCCACCCACCCACTCACTCACCCACCCACCCACTCACCCATCCCCTCACTCACTCACCCACCCACTCACCCACCCACTCACTCACCCACCCACTCACCCACCCACCCACTCACCCACCCACCCACTCACCCACTCACTCACCCACTCACTCACCCACTCAGTCACTCACCCACTCACTCACTCAGTCAATCACCCACCCACTTACTCACAACTCACTCACCCACCCACTCACTCACCCACTCACTCACCCACCCACCCACTCACTCACCCACTCACTCACCCACTCGCTCACTCACTCACTCACCTACTCACTCACTCACCCACTCACTCACCCACCCACTCACTCACTCGCTCACTCACCCACTCACCCACCCACTCACTCACTCACCCACTCACTCACCCACCCACCCACTCACTCACCCACCCACCCACTCACCCATCCCCTCACTCACTCACCCACCCACTCACCCACCCACTCACTCACCCACCCACTCACCCACCCACCCACTCACCCACCCACCCACTCGTGTGATTAACGGCCGAGCGGACCCAGCGGCGACCCCGTCTCACCGTCACGTGCCCCGCACCATCGGCGTGCTGCTCCCGCTGCCGGAGGTCCGCGTCGTTCTGGGCCGTGTACCTCACCGAGGCCGGCTGCCCGAGTGCCGGCGGAGACGCGGTGAGGAAGACGAGGCCCTCGCCGGCGCTCACCATTCCGCACTCGCGTGCCACGCTCACCGCGGTGAGCACGTTGTCTCCTGCACGCACGCACGCCCACCGGATCGCTCACCGGATCGCTCACCGGATCGCTCACCGGCTCGCTCACCGGATCGCTCACCGGATCGCTCACCGGCTCGCTCACCGGCTCGCTCACCGGATCGCTCACCGGCTCGCTCACCGGATCGCTCACCGGTTCGCTCACCCTCTCGCTCACCGACTCGCTCACCCTCTCACTCACCCTCTCGCTCACCCTCTCGCTCACCCTCTCACTCACCCTCTCACTCACCCTCTCGCTCACCCCCTCACTCACCGCCTCGCTCACCCCCTCACTCACCGGCTGGCTCATTCATGCACGCACTCACTCACCCATCCACTCACTCACCCATCCACTCACTCACCCATCCACTCACTCTCCCATCCACTCACTCACCCATCCACGCACTCACTCACCCATCCACTCACTCACCCATCCACTCACTCACCCATCCACTCACTCACTCACCCATCCACTCACTCACCCATCCACTCACTCACCCATCCACTCACTCACTCACCCATCCACTCACTCACCCATCCACTCACTCACCCATCCACTCACTCACTCACCCATCCACTCACTCACCCATCCACTCACTCACCCATCCACTCACTCACTCACCCATCCACTCACTCACCCATCCACTCACTCACTCACCCATCCACTCACTCACTCACCCATCCACTCACTCACCCATCCACTCACTCACCCATCCACTCACTCACCCATCCACTCACTCACCCATCCACTCACTCACCCATCCACTCACTCACCCATCCACTCACTCACTCACCCATCCACTCACTCACCCATCCACTCACTCACTCACCCATCCACTCACTCACCCATCCACTCACTCACCCATCCACTCACTCACCCATCCACTCACTCACCCATCCACTCACTCACTCACCCATCCACTCACTCACCCATCCACTCACTCACCCATCCACTCACTCACTCACTCACCCATCCACTCACTCACCCATCCACTCACTCACTCACCCATCCACTCACTCACCCATCCACTCACTCACCCATCCACTCACTCACCCATCCACTCACTCACTCACCCATCCACTCACTCACCCATCCACTCACTCACTCACCCATCCACTCACTCACCCATCCACTCACTCACGAACTCACTAATTCACACCCACCCCCACCCACCCCCACCCACCCACCCACCCACACCCACCCCCCACACCCACCCACCCCACCCACACCCACCGGTGACCATCACCGTGCGGATATTTGCTGCGTTGAGCTCAGCGATGGCTGGCGCCGTCTCTGGCTTCAGGCCGTTACGCATCACCAGCAGCCCCAGCAGGGTCAGGTCTCTCTCTGCCTGCACGCTGGGACAGGGCACACACACAGCAGTAGCAGTAGTAGTACTAGTAGTAGTACCAGTAGTAGTACCAGTAGTAGTACTAGCCCCATCACCAGCAGCCCCAGCAGGGTCAGGTCTCTCTCTGCCTGCACGCTGGGACAGGGCACACGCAGTAGTAGTAGCAGTAGTACTAGTACCAGCAGTAGTAGTAGTACTAGTACCAGCAGTAGTACCAGTAGTAGTACCAGTAGTAGTACCAGTAGTAGTACTAGCAGTAGTACCAGTAGTAGTACCAGCAGTAGTACTAGCAGTAGTACCAGTAGTAGTACCAGCAGTAGTACTAGCAGCAGTACCAGTAGTAGTACTAGCAGTAGTACCAGCAGTAGTACCAGTAGTAGTACTAGCAGTAGTACCAGTAGTAGTACTAGCAGTAGTACTAGCAGTAGTACCAGCAGTAGTACCAGTAGTAGTACCAGTAGTAGTACTAGCAGTAGTGCTAGCAGTAGTACCAGCAGTAGTACCAGCAGTAGTACTAGCAGTAGTACTAGCAGTAGTACTAGCAGTAGTACCAGCATTAGTACCAGCAGTAGTACCAGCAGTAGTACCAGCAGTAGTACCAGCAGTAGTACTAGTAGTAGTACCAGCAGTAGTACCAGCAGTAGTACTAGCATTAGTACTAGTAGTAGTACCAGCAGTAGTACCAGCAGTAGTGCTAGCAGTAGTACTAGCAGTAGTACCAGCAGTAGTACCAGCAGTAGTACTAGCAGTAGTACTAGTAGTAGTACCGGCAGTAGTACCAGCAGTAGTACCAGTAGTAGTACCAGTAGTAGTACCAGCAGTAGTACCAGCAGTAGTACCAGCAGTAGTACTAGTAGTAGTACCGGCAGTAGTACCAGCAGTAGTACCAGCAGTAGTACTAGCAGTAGTACTAGTAGTAGTACCGGCAGTAGTACCAGCAGTAGTACTAGCAGTAGTACCAGTAGTAGTGCTAGCAGTAGTACCAGCAGTAGTACTAGCAGTAGTACCAGTAGTAGTACCAGTAGTAGTACCAGCAGTAGTACCAGCAGTAGTACCAGCAGTAGTACCAGCAGTAGTACTAGTAGTAGTACCGGCAGTAGTACCAGCAGTAGTACCAGTAGTAGTACTAGCAGTAGTACTAGCAGTAGTACCAGTAGTAGTACCAGCAGTAGTACTAGTAGTAGTACCGGCAGTAGTACCAGTAGTAGTACTAGCAGTAGTACCAGTAGTAGTGCTAGCAGTAGTACCAGCAGTAGTACTAGTAGTAGTACCAGTAGTAGTACCAGTAGTAGTACTAGCAGTAGTACTAGCAGTAGTACCAGCAGTAGTACCAGTAGTACTAGTAGTAGTACCAGTAGTAGTACCAGTAGTAGTACTAGCAGTAGTACCAGCAGTAGTACCAGCAGTAGTACCAGTAGTAGTACCAGCAGTAGTACCAGCAGTAGTACCAGTAGTAGTGCTAGCAGTAGTACCAGCAGTAGTACTAGTAGTAGTACCAGTAGTAGTGCTAGCAGTAGTACCAGCAGTAGTACCAGCAGTAGTACCAGCAGTAGTACTAGTAGTAGTACCGGCAGTAGTACTAGCAGCAGTACCAGCAGTAGTACCAGCAGTAGTACTAGCAGTAGTACTAGTAGTAGTACCAGAAGTAGTGCTAGCAGTAGTACCAGCAGTAGTACCAGCAGTAGTACTAGTAGTAGTACCAGAAGTAGTGCTAGCAGCAGTACTAGCAGTAGTACTAGCAGTAGTACCAGCAGTAGTACCAGAAGTAGTACCAGTAGTAGTACCAGCAGTAGTACCAGCAGTAGTACCAGCAGTAGTACTAGTAGTAGTACCAGCAGTAGTACTAGCAGCAGTACTAGCAGTAGTACCAGCAGTAGTACCAGCAGTAGTACTAGTAGTACCAGAAGTAGTGCTAGCAGTAGTACTAGCAGCAGTACTAGCAGCAGTACTAGCAGCAGTACCAGCAGCAGTACCAGCAGTAGTACCAGCAGTAGTACTAGCAGCAGTACCAGCAGTAGTACCAGTAGTAGTGCTAGCAGTAGTACTAGCAGTAGTACTAGCAGTAGTACCAGTAGTAGTACCAGCAGTAGTACCAGTAGTAGTACCAGTAGTAGTACCAGCAGTAGTACCAGTAGTAGTACCAGCAGTAGTACCAGCAGTAGTACCAGTAGTAGTACCAGCAGTAGTACTAGCAGCAGCATCAGCAGTAGTACTAGCAGTAGTAGCAGCAGTAGTACTAGCAGTAGTACTAGCAGCAGCACCAGCAGTAGTGCTAGCAGTAGTACTAGCAGCAGTACCAGTAGTAGTACCAGCAGTAGTACCAGCAGTAGTACTAGCAGTAGTAGTACCAGTAGTAGTACCAGCAGTAGTACCAGTAGTAGTACCAGCAGTAGTACCAGTAGTAGTAGCAGTAGTAGTACCAGCAGTAGTACTAGCAGCAGCATCAGCAGTAGTACCAGCAGTAGTACCAGTAGTAGTACCAGCAGTAGTACTAGCAGCAGCATCAGCAGTAGTACCAGCAGTAGTAGCAGCAGTAGTACTAGCAGTAGTACTAGCAGCAGCACCAGCAGTAGTGCTAGCAGTAGTACCAGCAGTAGTACCAGCAGTAGTACTAGCAGCAGCACCAGCAGTAGTACTAGCAGTAGTACTAGCAGCAGTACCAGTAGTAGTACCAGCAGTAGTACCAGCAGTAGTACTAGCAGTAGTAGTACCAGTAGTAGATATGTGGACCAGCCCCCTGGTTGGTCAGTTACGTCATCCTGATGACAATGCTATATTCTATCGTTGTGAATAAAACAAATATTTTTTTCTAAACGTCATCTTGTACATGTCATGTTTCGGCTTGGGTCTAATTGTCCAACGGGGTTGGGGCCCCCTTGCGTTGTGGCGTGCTTCGGGGCCACTTCCTGGAGTTTGTGGAGTTATCCCGTTACTAGCACGGTGCATTTCATTAAAGCGTGTTCTTAAAAAAAGAGTTTTTTCAAAAATAATAATAATACACACATACATTTTTCGATTTAAAGCTTTCGTGACTGCAATGATTCATCTTCTTTGGTTTCTTTCGGTAAAGTCACCACCACGTAGAATGATAATAAAATAATAAAATTGATAAAATAAAATAACACAATAATATTCTCACGACGTTTCGGCCACAACACAAGCGGCCTTCATCAGGTGAAGGGGGCGAGACTGTCTGGTAGGACAGCGCTGGAGTGAAAGAGCCACGTTCAGATACGGCCTTTTAAGCTGTGTGAGAGGAACAAAGCGCCTTGACAAAGGAATTAGCATATAATTTAGCATTAAGGAATTAGCATATAATTTAGCTATAATTAGCATATAATTAGCATATAATTTAGCTAATTCCTTTGTCAAGGCGCTTTGTTCCTCTCACACAGCTTAAAGGCCGTGATCTGAACGTGGCTCTTTCACTCCAGCGCTGTCCTACCAGACAGTCTCGCCCCCTTCACCTGATGAAGGCCGCTTGTGTCGTGGCCGAAACGTCGTGAGAATATTATTATTGTGTTGTTATTCTATTTTATCAATTTATTATTTTATTCTCATTCTACGTGCTGGTGGCGACTTTACCGAAAGAACCAAAGAAGACACACATACATATCGGCCAGTGCCCCTAACCGCCCTGCGTGGCCGAGGTCCCGCGGGGGGCGTGCATCGGCGGCCGCTGGCCGGCCACGGGCCTCCCGGCGTTAAGGGATCTCCTGAAAAGTCTGCGGTGCAAGAGTGTGCCCGGCGAAATCCGGTTGCCCTCCGCCGCAATCCACCTCCAGGGGGTCACGTGCCCGGCTCCGGTTCGCGCGTCTCGTGCCCCCTATGTCTCTCCTTCTCCGCGCATGAACAATGCTTGCAGCCGGGCCGGGGGCCACTGATTGCGTTGTTCTGACTGCCGGAGCGCACTCCATGTCACGTTTTCTGTTTTGACTGTGCGTCCGTTGCTTTGCTTGGGGGGGAGCGGGGGGGAAGTCGGCAGCCGGGACGGCTGGAAGCTACGGTAGATGGTGGTGGAGGGGGGGAGGAGGGGGACGATGTAGTGACTGTGGTTGTCACTGCACGCTGCCGGGGCTTACGAAGCCACGGCGGATAAAGCGGTTGCCGTTGCGGGCAGGCCCCGGGTTACCGGGGGCGTAGCGTCGGCCCCGGCTTGCGGCTTGGCTCCCGTTGACGGGGCGAGAGAAGGGAGCGTCGTGCGGCCCCAGGGTTACCCCTTGGGGCGCGACACGCCGGTCGGCCCCAGGGTTACCCCTTGGGGCGCGACACGCCGGTCGGCCCCAGGGTTACCCCTTGGGGCGCGACACGCCGGTCGACCTGACCCGGAGCGCGCGACCGGGTCGTGCTGGAGGGGGGGGGGCCCGCCGGTGGAACGGGGAGGGGGTCCCGCGGGGCGGTCACGTGGTCCAAAGGAAGCTCTCGGGAGCCTTCGGGAAAGAGCTCGAGAGAGAGACCTGGAAGGTGGGCGGGGCGGCGAGGGGCCTCGGGAGAGGAGAAGCCTCTGGCCACGCGGTCCGGGACCCGGCTCGTGGTGCCGGACCGGGACAGCGAAACCGTGGAGTGGCTCTGCCGTGGAGTGGCTGGGGATGGGCGTTCGAGAGCCGAGTGTAGATGGCGCTGTTGTGTTGGGGCTGTTGGTGTTGGTGCTGTTGTGTTGGGGCTGTTGGTGTTGGGGCTGTTGTGTTGGGGCTGTTGTGTTGGTGCTGTTGTGTTGGTGCTGTTGTGTTGGGGCTGTTGGTGTTGGTGCTGTTGTGTTGGGGCTGTTTGTGTTGGGGCTGTTGTGTTGGGGCTGTTTGTGTTGGTGCTGTTGTGTTGGGGCTGTTGTGTTGGGGCTGTTGGTGTTGGGGCTGTTGTGTTGGGGCTGTTGGTGTTGGGGCTGTTGGTGTTGGGGCTGTTGTGTTGGGGCTGTTGTGTTGGTGCTGTTGTGTTGGGGCTGTTTGTGTTGGGGCTGTTGTGTTGGTGCTGTTGGTGTTGGGGCTGTTGTGTTGGTGCTGTTGTGTTGGG